AGTTTGATCACTAAGAAGCACCTTCGCGAGTTATTGCTTCAATGGAGTGATAGTTTTGAGGACCCAGAGAAGGCTAGAATGGAAACTGATGTTCTTGAGCTGTTAAGACCTCATCAAAATATAGAGAAGGTTACGATCAAGGGCTACAGTGGTACAAAACTCCCTACGTGGACGGCGAATCCTTCATTCCACAAGCTGGTTTCTTTGAGTTTAATCAATTGCAAAGGCTGTCGATTCCTACCATCACTTGGTCAGCTTCCTTCACTCAAAAATCTCATGGTTAAAGGACTAAGTGAGATAAAAAGCATCGGTGATGAGTTTTTCGGCTATACTTCAACCATGTTGACCCCTTTTGCATCTTTACAGACTCTATCCTTTACGGATATGTTGGAATGGGAAGATTGGTTACTTGGTTATGATGGAGATAGAAAAGCATTCTGTAATCTCTTGGAGCTTCACTTGGAGGAGTGTCCTAAACTGCAGGGAGAATTACCTGACGTCCTTCCTTGCCTAGTAAAGCTTGTGATTTGTGAGTGTAAGCAGTTGGATTCTTATCTTCCGCGACTTCCACAGCTAAATGAGTTGGAACTAAGGAGTTGTCATGTTAGGTTGATTAGCAGCCCGCGTGAGGTGACAAAACTCACTTCATTACAGCTGTCTAATCTTTCAAATGAATATCTACCTGAATGTTTCCTAGTATCTCTTCGGCATCTGGTAATTAGGCATTGTGACTTACTAGTGTCCCTTTTCGAGGAAGGGCAGAATCTGCCTCGCAGATTGGAGTATGTAGAACTGGAGAATTGTCATAATCTGCAGAAGTTACCGTCGTTACTTCATACTTTAATGTCCCTTGAAGTAGTTATAATCACAAATTGTCCAAGGCTGGAATCTTTTGCAGGGAAGATATTTCCTTCTAACTTAAAAGCCCTTGCCATTCAAGGATGCAGTGTGGAGTCTTTACCTGAAGCTATGATGAACAGTATCTCATCTCTCGAGTATTTCTCCATCCACGGGTGTTTAATGCTAGCTTCTTTTCCAAGAGGTAGTGAGTTGCTTCCAACCACATTTCAGCAGCTGAAAATCGAGAAATGCCCGAATCTGGAGTTTCTGCCTGAAGGGATGATGCACATCAGCAATACCTCTCTCCAAGTATTGGAGATTTTCGATTGTTCTTCTATATCATCGTTCCCGGTAGGCCAACTGCCAGACACTTTGAAAACACTCACAGTTTGGAACTGCTTCAATCTCGAGGCATTACCTGATATCAGAACCTCAACAATGCTTCTTGAATCTTTACGAGTTGGGAATTGTACAAGTCTGAAGCACTTACCTCATGGCTTGAACAAGCTGTTGAATCTTAGTTATTTTGAAGTTGATGGTTGCCATGGTATCGAATGCTTTCCTCTAGAAGGCCTTCCACAAAACCTTACAAAAGTACTAATCCTCGACTGTGAGAATCTGACGTTCCTTCCAAAGTGGATGCAGAATCTTACATCTCTTCAAGAACTTCAGCTATCGAATTGTCCACTAATCACATCTTTCACGGAGGGCGGTTTTCCCACTAGCCTTGTGTCTTTGGATGTCAAAGATTGTAAGAATCTTATGCCAATGTCTGAATGGGGATTGCACAGGCTTGCCTCTCTTAGAAGGCTGACAATTCATGGGATCAGTTCAAATCTTTCTTATTTTCCTCAATGGTTGCTTCCATCAACTCTAGAAACACTCAATATAGTTCAGTTATCCAATCTTGAATCTCTTTCTCCCTGGCTGCAAAATCTCACTTCACTCGAAAATCTCAAGGTCAAAGATTGTCGAAAGCTTCTTTCGTTACCAAAGGAAGACATGCCACCAATGCTTTCCTATCTTGAGATAAGTGAATGTCCCTTGAGTGAACAAAAGTGTGACTTGTCCAAGATTGATCATATCCCTTGCACTGTGATGTAGGATACAAGATGGATTCTGATATTTGGTTCCGTTTTATCTAGTTCACTTATACTAGTTCTTATGGAGCCTGCTCATGTACAACATGACTCAGACCTGATTATAGAAAAGATTCTTTTTAAGCGAACCAACCTATCCTCTGTATAGGGCTCGAAAATTCAGTTTTTTGTTTACTGAAATCAAAGTTCAGCTTGAGTTCTTTCCTTATTTTTGTGTTCAGTTTTGGTGTATACTGGAGGGGGATCCAGAGTATGGTATGTGGGTTCACGGAAAATTAATAGCTTTAGTCTAGATTCTATATATATATATATATATATATGGTAAGAAATCTACTAAATATTTGACTGTGAGCCGAATTATTATTGTATATTTACTTGAGGCCGTTCCAAATATTCATAAACTTCAAATTTTGGAATTGCCGCTGGCTATACTAGTCTTTCTCTAAGCTCAATATTGAGTTAAATCACATAAATAGAAGATATCTTGAGTTGCATTTTGTGTTTATCATCCATCTCATCATGAACACACCATCGCCCTCTCCCTCATCATCATCGCCATGATGACTTTAAATTGTTTTCAATGTGGCTATCTTTGCAGGCATTTTCTGTCTGGATTGCAACTCATTTACAGAAACTAGTATCTGGACACGTGCTTTGCATGTGTATCCCATGACTTCAAACGTTTTGAAACAAATTCAATTTGTTATCTACTTGTTTTCATGTTACACTTTCGAAACAAATTGCAGGCATGACATCTTTTGACTGAGAATAAGACACTGGATTTAATGTATAAAGCACTTTCGCGCTCATTTTCCCCTGCAACGGTGGAGATGCATACATATTGGCCTGCTTTCTGTCCATGACCACGCGGCATATAGGCCATCAATGTCAGATGTTGTTCTTATGCTTAGCAGATGTTACTGTTTCGATAGCAGAAGGGAGATAACTGAAGCAGAAGCGCGATATACATCTGAAGTCTCAAAATACTATGAGTAGTAATTATGTAATGAGTTTCAAGCTTGTGTAAGCTATTCAATTCATCTAATAAGCTTCATAATACGCAGATAAACACCTTAACTTGGTCTCAACTAGCAACTAATTAACGCTCTTAACTTTGAGAATGCATATCCTAGACACCTCAACTCGTTCACATTGTGTTTCATGGACATTTGACGCTGACGTGACAAATAAATTTTGGAGGTGTCTTAGATGAACATTTTGTAAGTTGATTTGTCTTTGCTGTATCTATTAATAATGTGATTCAGTGTGAAAGAATTAATACTTGTATTGTTCAATAAATGACTTTTGATTGACATGATACTAAGTAGATTTTTAGACAGCAGAGATTTAGTTGAAGTCAAAAGAAATTGACAAGGACATTAGTCACTTCACAATTAATCTTCTTGAATTAAATGTTCATGTGTATCTCATTTCAATTTTTCAAGAAAGTCTATGAGGTAGGCACTCTTTTACTCATTATGTTTCAAGTTGTTTGTCATATTTTAATTTTGCATGAATTTTGAATCTTGTGATCTTAAACATGTTATATGAAAAGTTAAAATTAAAGAGTACGTTGTTAAAAACTGGGCCAACTTTTGAAAAACAAGGCCACACAAACCTCACCAAATCAATGGATAATGAGTTGATGACCTCACTAAAAGAAAACATTTTTTGATAAATTAAGTGAAATAATTCATACCAAATATGAGAGTCTAAAATGTGGACTTGGTTCTTGGAATCAAACTCATAAAAAAGAAACACTACCCCTTAAAATGAAAATATTGTGTTTCTAAAAGAAATATCTAATGGAACAGACATATTCATGATTTGAAGTTTATGAATTCTGATCACGATCTTAAGTTAATATAAAATAATAAATTAGGTTCATAATAACTTTTTTTCATAGATTTACTAATTTTCTTAATTTATATATACAAAATTTTAAACAAAACTATTAAGTTTGCGTGAACTTCTTTAAAAGGTGTTTGAGGTATGTACCTATACAACGTAGTTCTATTGGTTCATTTTATTAAAGTTATTGTAGGTTAAAAAGAAGAAAATTATTTTATAATTTTAATTATAAAAATATTTATCTAAACTACCCTTTGATGATTCACTAGCCAAAAGTGAGAGTAAATTCAATAAAATTAAAATAATTAACAAATGACTCTTTTTTTTTCATTAATAAAACATCAATTATGTCAAACAAATCAGTTGATCAAAAAACACTGCAGATATAATATCTAATTGTGAAATATTATTGTCAAAAGTAGCAACGGTCTGCTCACACTAATTTAATTTTCGACTCTTTTTATAATATAGTCTATGCTCAATATATATTATACTCCCTCCGTCCTTATTTAGTTGTCCACTTTAGAAATGGCACACAGATTAAGGCAACAATGATTAGCATAGTGAAGTTACAATTTTACCCTTATAGTACAATTTACAATTCCAAAATAAATTCACTCAAGATAACTAATCAATGCTGGGAAGTTCATAAGTTTATTTACTTTATTTATGACAACTTTATTTAAATAAGGGTATAATAAGAAAAAATTTATTGTCCTTTCTTGATTTGTCAAAATGGACAACTAATAGGGACAACTAAAAGAGGAAATATGGACAACTAAATAGGGACAGAGGGAGTATTTAAATAAATAGTCAATGATAAACATATTTTTTCCCCTCCACTTTAAGCTAAACTTATGTCAAACAACTACTCTCTACCCTATCTCGATTTATTTGATATTTTTTATTTTTTAAAATTTAAATTATGTAAATTTTAACTGATATTTTATATTATATAATTTTTTATAAAAAAAACATAAGTTATAATTTTTGAATGTTTAAATTCAAATTTAAAATATTTAGTTGATTGTATTCAATTTAATTAACTTCAAAATTAGTTAAATTAACCTTTGGTTAAAGTGTTAGAAATGGTAATGGGGATTAGATCATAGGATTAAGAAGAAAAAGAGGAAAAGAAAATGCAGAATATATATGCTACTAACTATCTTCTCAGAATATGTTCATTTTTAAACTTCTCGTTCAATGATACATTGGGTTTTTCTATCTTCATTTTCTAGAATATTGCTTTAATCTCGTTAAAAATAGAGTTGGCTAGCTATCGTTATATCTTTTATAGCCTATGTAGAGTCCCAACTTAATAGATAACAAACACATGAAATTCAGTCATTTCATTTTGAAATTTTATTAATGGCAAAAATAAATACAAGATAGTTTGTTTAAGTGTAAGAATATTGGTGGTCCAAATGTTATAATCAGAGACGAACATATAATACTAGATATAGATACTAATGTATTTCGATGATTTTATATTTGTATCAAAAAATATATTAGATATATATAAATCTTTAATTACATGACACTTCATGACTAAACTGACTCATAAGTTTAATTACAAATTTAGAATCATAAACTTCAAATTCCAGCTCGACTCTTGCCACACATATAATACCACTATGACACGCCTTGGAAAAAGAGTAATCGAATTGCATATGGTCTAATATCAAAGCAAAAAAAAAAAAAAAAAAGATCAATGAAGAAGACTAAGTCATGTTTGGCCCACAAGATTATTTTTTAAAATAAAAAAAAATTGTTTGGTTACCAAAACCATTAATTTTCTTCATAAATTAAAATAATTCCAAGAATTTTAAAAGAATAGAGATTATTTTCTGCTTCCATATCTAACGATACCAAACCAATATTTTATAGGCATAAATAAGCTACAATTTTTTTGAATATTAAATTTATTTTAGTTTATCTTATTAAAATATCTCCATTTTTAAAATTTAAAATGCTCAATATATTCATCCTCCAACCACTATTAAGATATAAGAATTAGCATCAGATAAATTGTATAGCTAAATATTAAAATTTTCTCGCATACTAATTTTATTTAGTGACGGATTCGAGGTGAAATATCTAAAATTATGTTAATTGAATTATTTAGCGACAAATTTTTCGATGAACTTCATAGCTCTACATATATACTTGTGTATACATGTGAACTATAATTCTCTTGGATTAATTTCTGGAAAAAAAATTAATATATATGTAAAATTACTAATTATTACTCCAATGTATATTCTGCGCAAAAAAAAACAATTCAAATGGTTTAGTTTATTAAATGATTTATTTAGTAGCAAATTTAAAATCATTTTAAAGCCTGCATGGTCATGGATTTGGACCAAATTTCACCACTACTTTAAAAATGAGAAAAGGAGAATTAATGTGAAAACTAGCACAGCCTGACACGGCATAGGAAAAAAAACTTATTTAGGATCGGATATTCATATTGAAATTTGAGTCCGACTAATTTGACACAAACAAGAAAGTGATTCATTTCGATAAAATAAAAGTGGATTGATTTAATAATTAATCAAAATAAATATATAGCTTTTAATATTTTGTAAAAAAATTAACTATAGCAATATTGATAAAAGAAAATACTGCGTAAAATTAATTGATTGACTTTTCTGCTATAAAATAAAACTGATTGATTTTTTAATATAATTATCATTAATTAAGTGATCACGAACAAGCCACTAAAATGATGGTTTTAGGCCCCCAATGTTTTTTTTTATTTGGTGTGTGTATTCAACTTGAATGTTTTTTACGAGAAAATACTTTTTGGTAAGATTCTTTCTTTATTCTAAGACTTTTAATTAAAAAATTAAAAAATTATAAAATATTTAAAAAATATATTAAATAATCCGTGAAGGACGTGGGAATTATTTTTTCTATATTATATTTATATATATGCTTACTCTCGTTGACCTTTAAATTTTAATTAGTTTGGTCATAAACTTTTGGACTACTTGATTTATTTATTTTTCCCATGCACTAAATTACTTTATTGTTTTTTTAATTTCTCATTTGGGTTCATATTTATTTTGGGGTTTAATTAATTTAGTCATTTAAATTCGTTTTGAGAAGTTTATTTTGAAGGTAAAGCGCTTCATATCAAAGAATTTTATATATATGACTTGAACTTAAAACATTTAATTAAGGATAAATGAATGTTTATTTATATCTACACGTTAATAGTTTCATCTCCTTTTTTTCGTTTTAGAAAATTAATGTATATAATTTAGATAGTATATGATTATAGTGTTGTTAAATATCAACTCTTCTTTTGAGATACCAGTAATGGTGATCAAGTTGATTGAGCAGATGATCTTTCAAATTGGGAGTTTGAGATTCAAATCATTTTACATGCATGCTTTTTCAATCAAGGTCGTTCGGAGAGCTACCTTATATGCACACCTCATGAATAATAGCGAATACAAATTTTCTTCTAAAATAAATAAATAAATATCAATTCTTTCTTAACTGATTTGATCTAACTTAACCTACCCACTATAAATTGCAATGAGCCAATTTGACTTTGAAAAGTGGGGTCTAATATAACCCCTCTCCTCCAAGTGGAGTTTAATTAAGTTAATCATAGATATATATTGCCTAAAAAGTTTTTAAAGAAAATATATTTTAATTAACTAATTGTTATAATGATTTTGCACACAATGATTCATAAGCACCTTTATAATTTTAAAGATTATACTAACATCAATCGGCAAATAAAAATAAGTGATGTGGTCAGAATTATAATTTATAAGGGCTAGTTAATTGATATCTAATGCAAAATTGGACATTTATTTCTAACCATTTTTTGAGATAAAATTTGAATTTTTTTGACTTTATAACAAAGTGGACTAATCACATTTTTTTTTAATATACACATCTAGACACCTCAAATTTGACCTCTGCTGAAAAGTCAACACTCCAATTTTGAATATGTACATCTAAATACTTCAAATTTGATCTCAACTGACAAGTAAACCCTCCAATTTTGAATATACACATTTAGACACTTCAACTTGTCTCGATTGTGTCAGCTGAACACTTCAACTTACAAAATAATCATCTAAACACCTCGAAAATTCACATGCCTTGTCACCGCACTTAATGTCCACAAGACACAATAAAAATAAGTTGAAGTGTTTAACCATCAATTAAAATCAAATTAAAATATCTAAATATATATGTATTACGCCTAATTAAAATAACGATATATATATATATATATATATATATCTATATATAAATCCAGAAAGAATCAAAACGTGGAGGCTTGTGGATTAGGTGTCAAAAAAAATAATACTTATCTCCCTTTCCATTTTCCTAACAAACAAATTTTTTAAAAAATAGATCTTTATAGATAACAAGAAGTACTACTACATAAGCTAAGAAATACCCCATTTTTTTGAAGTCAACAATGACAAACATTAACACCAAAAACCACATTTTTCACCTATGTTCTTGCTTCAACTTTCTTCTAATTTCACAAATCCTCGCAACAGCAGCAACAACAACAGATAATACGATCACGATTACAAATCCCCTTACGATATCGAAAACTTTAGTCTCTCAACAAAAAAAATTCGAATTAGGATTTTTCACTCCTGGTGGTCCGAATTCAGACAAATGGTACGTCGGAATATGGTACAAAGAAATCAAAGAAACGACGATAGTTTGGGTCGCGAACAGAGAAAACCCCGTCATCAATTCATCGTCTTCCCCTGTGTTAAAAATAACACAAGATGGACGTCTTGTTATTGATGACGGAGATGGAAATTATACGTGGTCATTGAATTTCGCTAATAATAATACTACATTTATCGCTAAGTTATTGGATTCAGGTAATTTCGTCGTTCTAACAGAGAAAGACGAAATTATGGTGTGGCAGAGTTTTGATTATCCAACGGATACTCTGTTACCCGGGATGAAACTTGGGTGGGACTCGAAAACGGGGTTTAATCGGAATATAACGTCATGGAAATCGCCATTTGATCCTTCTCCGGGGAATTATACGTTTAAACTTGATGTTAATGGTTTGCCTGAAGCTTATTTGACAAATAGAGATACAATTTTATATAGAAGTGGACCTTGGAATGGTGTTGGATTTAGTGGTGTACCAGAAATGAAGCCAACAGATATTATAGTTTTCGAGTTTCAGATGAATAAGGATGAAGTTTACTACACTTTTGAGGTATGTTCGTCTCTTCACGTGTGAGTCTGATTTTTTTTAAGTAATGACGGGTAGCGTTATGTTGAGTCTCATGTTAGTGGTGGGATGGAGGCAATCTTCACTTTCTATTTCTTATCATGGTATCAGAGTTAAACTTGTTATCAATTATTTGTTTATCTGATATTGGTTTCCCATATTATATTTTTAGGATAGTGGGGTTAGGGGACTTTTTTGTCTTCTTATACAGTCTACTTTTGAGGTTGAGTTAGGTCTAACATTTATTTCTTACGTAACAAATATATATATATATATATATATATATGCTCTGATACAATGTTAAATTTTGTAAAAACGTGTTTTTACTTAATTATGTTTTTGTTAGGTGCTTGACAAGAAAATATGTTCGAGATTGTTAGTGAAGCATAACGGTTTTTTAGAGAGGTATACTTGGATTCCAACTAGTAACATTTGGAACAAATTTTGGTACGCCCCGAAGGACCAATGTGATTTATACGAAGAGTGTGGTGTTTCGGGAATTTGTAACGCGAATCTATCGCCGGTATGCAAATGTCTAGTAGGGTACAAGCCTAAAAATCAAGTGGCATGGGATTTAAGAGATGGATCAAATGGATGTGTTAGATATCATGATTTGGATTGTGAAACTGATGTTTTTAACATATTAAAGAACATGAAATTGCCACAAAGTTCAAGTTCATTTGTTGATACAAAGATGAATTTGGAAGAATGTGAAAAAATGTGTAGGAACAACTGTTCATGCACGGCGTACACCACCGCGAACGTTACGGGTTCGGGTTCGGGTTGTGTCATTTGGACAAAGGAATTAGTCGATATGCGCCAATATTCGGCAGCAGAAGGTGGACAATTTCTCTACGTTAGAGCTGCTTCTTCTGACGCAGGTACATTTTTTATTTCAATCTGATGTTCGATATATGTTTGAATTGTTATAGAAAATATGTTTTTTTGTGGTAAAATAGTACTCCATATCAAAATAATGAAAAGGTAATTTAATTTTCTTCTGTAAAACTTGAATCTGAAACCTCTGGTTATTATGAAAAGAGTGCTTAATATCCTACCGCTATTCTTAATTTAGTAGGAGAGAGTTGAGTCGAACTCAATTTAATGGAGTGGTTGGGTGTTGGTAGAGATATATATGGAATTTTAATGTATTTGTTGGGTTGAATAATAATAATAATAATCGGTCTCATTTTTCATGAAGTTTGAACTACATATTTTTAAATGAAAAAAGAAATGGTTGCCTAGGCGATTTTTTACCCTTTATTTTAGAAATTTGAAGTAATATCATGGGTTGGACACGTGGAGATTCGCCACGTCACACTAGGTTGTTGGCACTCCCTTGTTGAGATTTTACGAGATTTTGAAACGATTGTGTAGATGATGAAGTTCAATATTTTATTTTAGGATATTCTGGAACGATTTTGTAGGTGATAGAGTTCGATATTTCTTTTTTAGGAGATTTTAGAACGATTGTATAGATAATGGAGTTCGATATTTCATTTTTAGGAGATTCTAAAATGATTGTGTAGATGATAAAGTTCGATATTACGTAATGAAAAAAAGATGCTTGTTTAAAATATATTGTTAATTAGTGTATATTTAATGAGAGTAATTAATAGAAAAGTAGTTGGTGCTATACTTTGAAAAAACAAGAAGCTAGTACATATTGTCATTACAATAAGCAAATTATAATTAATTAAAGTCCATTGACTATTGACAAAGACTTGAAAACAGCCAACTATATATTCAAATATATTATCTTTCAATATATTTTATTTGATATTGAGAGAGACAAAACATATTCTTTGTGGTAGGCACGTTTTAATTTTCACTTAATTTTCCTTTTTCTTTTTTGAATTATTATGCATTGAAAAATTAAAGAAAAAAATGTAAACCAAAACATATGAAAAATACCGTCAAAAGTCCTAAATTAGTTAATTATATGGTTTATCTACTATTAGGTGCTTGAATTTTTTTTCCTTTTTGATTAGATTGGGATGGTTAATTAGTTAGAAAATAATGCACCTATATCTCAAGCTTCTAGAATTAATTATTTTCCATTCAAAAGAAAATTCTACTAATACAAAGTTTTTATTCCCCCAATTGGTAAGTCAACTAAACGTGAGTTTCCTTTTTCTTTGTATCTTATTTTCTTCCTATGAATAAGCATGATATCATATTTCAACTAGAATTTAAGTTACATATACAAATAATATGGAAAAAAATCATAATAGTAATATACACACGTATAAAAGGATAAATACTTATTAGCACTCGATGTACATTAATAAAACTAAGTGAGTATAAAAGGTACATTTCTAGCTTTATTAGTTAGTTTGATGTGAACACTTATAGGCTACAACCTTACATGTTCACGTGAATTCAATAGCTTTTATTTAGATCATCGTTTTCTTTCGGGTGAAGCTATAATAAGTATGTAGGCAGGTTTGATAGAACTTAGTAGCTTTGATCTATACTCTATATTTTTGCTTAAAAATACACTAATCATGTATAAATTATTTATCAAGAACTCAGCAAGCTATTTTTTCTAGAATTTATAATTTATAAACTTAAAATTTTAGCTCAGACTCTTATTATAAATATTCGTAAACTTCAAATTTTAAATCCGGCTCATTATAAGTTAATGCTTACCTAAAAAAAAGAAGGTGAGAAAGGGGTTTAAAATTAAAACATGGTCATAAAGTGAACAAAGCGTGTGTTACATTTTTTTATTTTGTATTTTGTATTGCTAACGCAAATTGTTGCGTGACATAATGAAAAATACATTAATTTTTTGCTGCTTTTATTGTTATATTTTCATGAGGATATCATATCTTTTTTTAATTATTATTTATTTTAAAAATTTTGACAATAAATGGAAAAACTAAAATTAGTGGACAATTGGTCCTAAAAAGTTAGGTGTAAGTTCACACAAAAGATTCTTTTTGAAATGGATGAGAAGAAATCATTTTTTTGGACCCACTTTATATTCCAAAAATAGTCACTTGGCCGATTATTTAGACTTTGATTAATTGCAAATTTACATATAGTATGAGTTCTATTTTTAATTTTATTTTGACTTTGATTAATTTCAAATTTACATATAGTATGAGTTCTACTTTTAATTTTTCATAAGGTTTACTTTCATATTATAAACATAAAAAATAAATACTTTTTGACAAGGACAGCCTTTGGGTCATTTGAATGGTGTACAAGTTACATTAAAATTATAATATTAAAAAATAAATAATGTATAATATTATTTAATATATATGTATTTGACTTTACCTTGGATAAATTAGTATTAACTATTATATTTTCAATTTTAACCTTAGATTTAATCTAAAGGACCTTGGAAGAAGAGTCTCAAGAAAGGCCATTTTGGTATTTTTTGTATTTTATCTAGAGATTATTATCCGTATTAAAGGTGGTATAAAAATAATATCACAATTACGGTGTAACGACTAGCCCCAATATCAAACATCCAATCACACGGAATAATATAATCTCACATTTCATCTCGGGATTGTTATCCGTTATTCCAAAAATCAAACGACTATAGTAATTACTAAGTTATGTAATGTGCATTAATGTTTTTGAATTCATGACAAAGGAAACTTGACCTTCCGTTCATTTGTATTTTTCGAGCAATTAACACCTAGTTCAAGTTACTCAATCGCAATAAAAAATAATTTTGTGACTTTACTGTTAAAAAAAAATACAACCTTTGATGGAAGACTCATTTTTATGTGTTAATTTTCAGCAAAAAGTGGAAATGTTGGATCTGAAGATGGTTCTGGCAAAACAAAAAGAATTGCTTTGGCTACTGGAATTACAGCTGGTGTTGTTCTTGTTCTAATTGGAGTTGTAAGCATTTGCTTATTATCAAAGAGAAAAAAATTATTGGAAGATCCAATAAGAAAGAAAACAGACCAAAGAGGTATGTTATAATATAAGCCTATAATTTCGATTTCAGTATGGTATTCGATATTTACTTTAAGGCATAATACATAAAGAATGCACATCTATAGACACCTCGACTCGTCTTCACTGTGTCTCGTGAACACCTAATACGTTATTGTGACACATAAATTTTGGAAATGTCTAAATGATCATTTTGTAAGTTGGAATGTACGTTCATATGGAGACGAGTTGAGGTGTCTAACTATACATTACTCAAAGTTAGAGCATTCAGTTATCAGTTGAGGTCAAGTTAAAGTGTCTATCTATATATTATACAGTAACCATCTCATAATTCATATTTCTTACACTATTTTTGAACCAGGCTTTATTGAAAGAAGTCAAGATCTTCTAGTGAACACAGCCATTATTCCAAGTAAGAGAGAAATTTCTGGCGAAACTGTCGCGGACGAGTTTGAATTGCCATTATTTGATCTCAGTACCTTAGCTGTGGCTACTGAAGATTTTTCTGATGCAAACAAGCTAGGCCAGGGCGGTTTTGGTTGCGTTTACAAGGTAAAGCTCATCTAGATAAAAAAGCAAAAGCTTATGTTGCTCGGATTGGTCAAAAATGTCATCATATCCATGTCAGATCCTCCAAAAATACATTACTTTGGAAGATGTAACACGGGTGCAGTGACATTTTTCGAGGATCATAGCAATACATCAAAAAAGTAGTACTTTTTTGCATTTACAAGTTAAAGCTGATCATATATCAGTAAAAAGAACATATGCTGCTCAGACAGGACAAAAATGTCGTTGCATGCACTCGTGTCAGATCCTCCAAAAATGCATCACTTTGGAAGATTGATCTAACACGGGTGCAGTGACTTTTTTCGAGGATCTGAGCAATACATGAAAAACTAGTCCTTTTTTTTGTATTTACAATGTAAAGCTCAACTAGATGTGAAAAAAAACTTATGTTGTTCGGATTCTACAAAAATGTCATTGCACCCCTGTCTGATCTGACACGGGTGTTACAACATTTTTCAAGGATATGAGCAACATATGAAAAACTAGCCCTTTTTGCCTTTACAAGGTAGATGTGAAAACAACCTATGTTGTTCGTATCCTCCAAAAATATCAGTGCACCATTGTCGGATCTCCAAGAAAATGCTTCATTTTTGGAGGATCTGACACGAGTGCAGTGACATTTTTCAAGATTCAAACAACATTGGGAAAGACGGACTCTGTTTTATTGGAAAATGTGAAGACATTCAACAAAAGAACGTCTTTTTTTTTTATTATCAGGGAATAATAGATGAAGGTCAAGAAATAGCAGTGAAAAGGCTGTCAAAGAATTCAGGCCAAGGAGTAGAGGAATTCAAGAATGAGCTAAGATTGATTGCAAGACTTCAACACAGAAACCTCGTTCGCCTTCTTGGATGTTGTGTTGAGATGGAAGAGAAAATGTTGATATACGAATACATGGAAAATAAAAGCTTGGATTCAATCTTATTCAGTAAGTCGTTTTTCGTTCAATATATTCTTATTATCAGTAACTATGTTTATGTGTGCTATTGGACTTCAAAATTAACAAATATACGCGTCTCAGATAAGCAGAAAAGCTCGTTGCTAGATTGGCAAAGACGATTCAGCATTATCTGTGGGATTGCTCGGGGGCTTCTGTATCTTCATCAAGATTCAAGATTTCGGATTATCCACCGAGACCTCAAAGCAAGCAACATTCTCCTTGACAAGGAAATGATCCCGAAAATATCAGATTTTGGCATGGCACGGATTTTTGGAGGTGATGAGACCGAAGGAAATACAAAGAGAGTTGTTGGAACCTAGTAAGTAGAATCACATTATTCCTTATAAATCATTCATAAAAAACACTTCGAAAAGTGTTGGTAAATCGACTTTTTTTCTCTCTTAATGTAGCGGTTACATGTCTCCTGAATACGCGATGGATGGTCTATTCTCTGTTAAATCAGACGTTTTTAGCTTCGGAGTTTTAGTGTTGGAAATAGTAACAGGGAAGAAGAACAGAGGATTTTATTTTCAGAACAATGAAAGAAACCTTCTTGGCCATGTAAGTACACCAAAATTATCACAACTTAGTCATCATTTCTAACAAAGTCGGAACAGAGAATTTTGAGTTTATGCGTTCTGAATTCTAAAAAAATATAGCTAATTAGTAGGTTCTCGATAAATTATTTATGCATATTAAGTAGATTTCATAACATTAATACAAGGTTTTTACTAAAGTTGCTACTGAGTTCTGTCGAACTTGTAACTTTCTCTCTAGTTCCGCCCCTAAATGTGTAATCACTCTGCAGGCGTGGAAACTATGGAGAGAAGGAGGAGCCTCAGAACTACTCGATTCATCAGTTGGCGAATCATTTTCTCCGTGTGAAGTAATCAGATGCATACAGGTCGGGTTATTGTGTGTTCAGGAACAAGCAGAAGATAGACCGAACATGGCAACCGTTGTATTGATGTTAGGAAGTGAAACTGCAACAATGCCTCAGCCTAAACACCCTGGTTTTTGCCTCGGAAGAAGACCTGTTGATGAACACTCGGAAACTATTTACGAAGAAACTTTCACTGTGAATCAAGTAACGATTACCATGCTTGATCCCCGGTAGAGTTAAACGTTCAGACAGATCATAGGCTAGCCCGCTTCTACGTGACAGAATAGAAATCAAGGCAAATTCCGCTGATGGGAGTGTGAACATAGAGATTCCACGACGAATGAATGCAATACATGGATGATGGATCCCTGCTGGCAAAAATGTATAGATAGTACATTAGTGTTTTTTCTCCACTCGACCATATCAGGAGGATCAATAGTGTTTTAACTTACCGTACATTAGTACTACGAGTGGTTAACAATTTTCTCTTTGTACACTTACCTTGATTTTTTTTAACGAAAATAATGTTTTTTTTTTTGGGTAGTTAATTATAGAAATAGTCTTTTTTTCTCATTTAATTATGAAATTGTGAAGTTCCAATATAGATAAGTCTTTTTTTTTTAAAAAAATAAATGATCTTTTGGTATGTACATAATATAAACCTTGTTATATGAATAAAAAGATTGAAATGTTCCTTTAATATTTCTTGATCATAGATTTCAAAATTACATGTATATATAATGTCAAATTTTAACTACTTTTATGATTCAAATTATTGATAATGTTAGTACTTTTTTGTTGCAATACTGAATATGTATTATAACATTAGTAATTTAATACTTGCACTTTTTTTTTAAGAATCTTGGCGATTTTTAAAGTAATATCTGATTGAAGAGACATTAATTCGGAAGAAGAAAAACAAGAAGTTTAAAATAAAATCGAATACTGCAGCAAAGTGAGAGGTAAAACAAAACACAATAAATTTTAACTAAGGAAGACTCGATGAAGTCGCCCTACTCTATTTGTTATCCCGTAATTTTCTAGTGTTTACTTCTTTATATTTTAAATGTCTTTGATGAAAAAAATCCTCCCTCCGCCACGAATAAAAGTATAGTAGGACCCGTTTGGCCATAGATTTTCCAAGTAATATTTGGAGAAAAATTTGGCAAATAGTGTTTGTCCATACAATTTGTCATTATTTGACAAATATCCCAAATTCCCAAATACTAGTTTTTTCTAATATTTGGGTCAAATCTCATTATTTGGGATCTTTTAAAAATTGAAAGTTTACACCAAACTTTTATCTTTTACAATAACACCCTCTATAGTAGTTGTTTGCGTTATATTACATAGTGTTTTATGTGAACACCAAAATAGTGATGAAATATTCAATGAATAAGAAAGTGATGATATGGTTGTTGATGAAAATGATGAACAATCGGCTCAAGGTAACAAAGTCATGTGCTTTGTCTACTTCACGATGTATGGAATGATGCTTGTTGTACTCACTCCAAACTATCACATTGCTCCAGTGTCACGGATATTACTTGTTATTTGTTGCAACGAAGATCTAATTGACTTGTAATACAAATTTATGGTTAGTTTTGATAGTTTTTAAAACTTATGGGTATAAATCATATTTTTCTAAAAAAGTGAAATATGTTTCCCAAATATTATGGTCAAACACATGGTGAAATTTCACCTAGATAATATTTGCCAAGAATATTTGGAAATCTATGGCAACACTCTAGCTAAATTTTACATACACCATTATCAGCCCCATTAATATTGATTGTGATGTACTTCAATTCAAACTTGCCTCTCCATTTGATAACACGAACATTGATTTTCATCCACATTAGTTTGCTTGGGTAAAAAATGGACAAACAAACAAGGCAGACCTTTCTACTTCATAAAGATATGACACCTGAGTCTAACTCTTCAAAAACTAGCTCATGAGGGGAGATTTGTCCAAATCCTTATGAGGAAACCAATTTTTCAATTCTCTATCGGTATGGGACTTCTTAACACTCCCCGCACGCCCACGCCTGAGGAGGAACACTTATTTTTTGGCGTTGACAAGTAACTACAAAGAAAATATTATCTCTCAAATATTTATATATAACACAGAGTCATTTTTCTTCATTCTTACTTCTCGATCAACCAAACACACATTGAAAGCTTTAGCACCCCACGAGTCTCCTACGTTTAACAATTAATTACATACACAGAAAACAGACATGAATTTCTATGTTGGGGGTAGTTGTGCTTCATTAATTACAACAAACTTTTTACCTTTGTAGTACTACTTCAACTAGCTAGCTCAGAAGGTTATAATCATGAATTTCATGTAAACTCTATTTACAAAAAAATATATATACTAAAGCTAGTTGCTGATTCAAGATTTGAATTCTACGAGTCTGAGTACGAGATTATCCATACTTTTTTAGTGGATTTTTTATTCATATATATATATAGTATTCGAGCTAAAGCTATTGGGGTTCGATCGATCTAACCATTACTTGTTTTAAACATCATGTCCAAGAAAAAATTGTTCATGATAGTTTTACTAGTAGTATTCATCTTATTTTATGTCCAATTTTGCACTTCCAATGATACAATTTCCTTTAACAAATCTCTAAAAGATGGAGATTTGTTAGTTTCTTCTGGAAAATTATTTGCTCTTGGTTTCTTCAGCCCTGGAAATCATTCTAACAATCGATACGTCGGAATTTGGTACAATAACATCCCTGAACTAACTGTCGTTTGGGTCGCTAATAGAGAGAACCCTGTAAATGGCACGTACGGGGTTCTCTCTATCGACCCAACAGGTAGTCTTGTTATACTAAATCGAAATACCAAAATATTCTCCTGGAAAACAGTTATTTCCTCTGCTCAGCTATTGGATTCAGGGAATTTTGTGTTTTTTCATGACACGAAAAAGGAAAATATTGTATGGCAAAGCTTTGATCATCCTACAAATACTATACTTCCTGATATGAAATTTGGTATTGACAAGAATACCGGTTTGAACCGGTCTCTAACGTCGTGGAAATCGATGAATGATCCTGGTTCAGGGGAGTATGTATACAAGATTGAGATAAATGGAATAGTGCCTCAAGTTTTCCTGTATAAAAATTCTAACAGGATATGGCGAACCGGACCCTGGACCGGTCTAGGTTGGAGTGGTGTACCTGGAATGAGGCCTGGATTTATATTTAACAGCAAATATGTTGACAATGAAAGTGAAGTCTCTGTGATATTCACTATGAAGGATCCTGTTATCTCGAGATTAGTACTGAACGAATCAGGGATGATGAGTATATTGAACTGGCAAGAAGGCGCGAAGAAATGGGTACAATTTTGGTCCGCGCCTGAGGACTCGTGTGATGACTATGTACATTGTGGAAAATTTAGTAATTGCAACCTGTACAACTTGGGTGAATTTGAATGCAAGTGTCTTATTGGATACGAGCCAAGGGAAAACCGGTCGTGGTACTTGAGAGATGGTTCACAAGGGTGTTTGAGGAAGGAGGACGAGAATGTGTGCAAAAATGGCGAGGGGTTTGCTAAATTGAGTAATGTGAAGGTCCCAGACACTTACAACGCGCGATTGAATAGAAGCATCGGGTTGCAAGAATGTGAGAAATTGTGTTTGAATAATTGTTCTTGCTCTGCTTATGCAAGTGCTAATGTTAGTATTGGAGGAATTGGATGCATCACTTGGTATGGTGACTTGATAGACACAAGGGAGTTTACAGATGGAGGACAAGATTTGTATATCAGAGTATCTGCATCTACTTTGGGTAAAATTTAGATTGTTTTAGTATCGTGTGATCATCTTGTCTAAGAAGTACATAAGCGGTTAGAAAGATTAAAACTTTTATTTACTTATTTATGTTCTTGTATCTTCTTGAGCCGAGTGTCTATCAGAAACAATCTCTCTACCCTCACAAGATATGTAGAGGTAAGGTCTACGTACACTCTACCCCTTAGATTCCACCTGTGGGATTATACGGGGTGTTTTTTTTTTGTTGTAATACGTCCTCTTGTGTGTGGGAATGACTTTGTCTGCTCTGATACTAAGTTGAATTGTTTAAGAGTTTAAGTACATAATAGTGTAAGTTTTCTCTAACAGGTAAAGTTTTTAGATAAGCTGGTCACATACATCAAACAGTTGTTAATGTTTTACGGTATTGTGTTACAAAAAGTTTTACATTTTTGTTCTTTCAGCTCAATTCTCGAAGAACAACAATGGCTATCTCATGAAAAGAACCATAGCAATTGTGACAATCTGCATTGGTGCAATACTCATCGCGCTCTCGTTTGCTTGTTGTTTGGTAATAAGGAAAAGGAGAAGAGTTAAAGGTACCCCTTAATTTCTTCGTGTGTTTACTTCTTTATTGAATCCCCTTAGTGAAATCTGGCTCCGCAACTTACAATAGTACTAAGTTACTTCATGTACAGATAAGGAGGACCAATTCACCAGTTTGAACACTTTGACAAGGAATTTAGCATCCTATGAGAACTCTTCAAGAGGTAATGAGATGGATGGAAGGGAACACATCGATGTGTTAATCTTTGATCTAAGCACTATCATTTCTTCCACTGATGATTTCTCTGATGCTAACAAACTCGGAGAAGGAGGCTTTGGTAGCGTTTACAAGGTACCTCCCGATATTTTACCAACTTCTTACTCATTTGTTGAGACAATTTTACTTGATAACAAGCTTACATTTTGATCTCAGGGACAGCTAAACAACGGCCAAGAGATAGCGGTCAAAAGACTTTCGAAAAATTCAGGGCAAGGAGTGGAGGAATTCAAGAATGAAGTAACGTTAATCGCGAGAGTACAACACAGGAATCTTGTGAGGCTTTTAGGATGTTGCATACAAAGAGGAGAGAAAATGTTGATCTATGAATACTTGCCAAACAAAGGCTTAGACAGTTTCATCTTTGGTACATATATACATGTCCAGATTGTGTAAAAAATATAAATAGGCATGTTACTGATCCTTTCGAATCGTGTATTGCAGAAAAAACTAAAGGGTTGCAGTTAGATTGGAGAAAACGATTTGAAATCATCGTTGGAATAGCACGAGGATTGTCATACCTACACCACGACTCACGAGTACGAATCATACACAGGGATCTAAAAGCCAGCAATGTTTTACTAGATGCCTCAATGCACCCAAAAATATCAGATTTCGGAACTGCTAGGATATTTGGTGGTGACCAATTTGAAGCTAACACAAATCGAGTCGTTGGAACATAGCAAGCATCACTTTTATGTATGAACATATGTGTATTTTTCTCAAAGGCACTTAAACTTGTATAAAGTTGAACAAGTAGACACACTCGTCCTACATGACGATTCGCATAAGATACACTCGAACTGATTTGTATTATGCCATGTAAGATGCATATTATGTCATGTAGAACGTTTGTGTCTACTTGTTCAACTTTATATAAGTTTAAGTGTCTACTTGTGCACACCTCATAGATGTCAGCTGAGACTAAGTTAAATGGCACGTTTATTTATTATGCCAAATTAAAATTGTGGATCTTGACATAGCTATTGGTTCATTTTAGTGGTTATATGTCACCAGAATATGCAATGGAAGGGCATTTTTCAGTGAAATCTGATGTTTTCAGTTTTGGTGTTCTGTTGTTGGAGATCATTACTGGCAGGAAGAACACTACACATTATCAGGATCATTCATTAAATTTAGTTGGAAATGTAAGATATCTCTTCATCAAGAACTCACCTTTAGTTAAGAAGATGTATATATCTTGTTTTGCTTTAGCCCTTATACCATTGCTCTAGAGAAGGATATGTGGAAATGTTCATCTCTTCTTTTTTTTCTTATACGGTGGAGTCGGGGCTAGCTTGTGCATACTTTGACTATTACACTGTACTTGCTACCCTCCACCAGCATAGGGATGGAAACAATGGCGGAGCTACATGCATTGGAAGGGTATTCAAATTGAATCCCCTTCTTTAGAAAGCTATGATAGAAACTATTGGGTATGTCTAAACAAAGTCCCACATGCAAAGTAAAAAAAAACTACTTTAAGATGTCGGATAATCTTAATGTTATGAAGTCTTCTGAAAAAAACTATGCGGGTTTGGTCCAAGGGGACAATATCATGCCATGTTCAGAGTATCTTATTGGATTATTTTAGCCTAACAACTGATATCAGAGCCAGTGGTTTGGCAAGACAATTATTGAGATGGTAGAGTGATGGAGTGGGGTCCGACTTGGTGCCTTTGACCATCTATGGGCCGATTTACTATCTTTACCTGTAGCCTTAGAGATGCTTACACAAAAAGAAGCTAGTGGCTGTTCGTGACCATAAATACTCTATTGATATGGTGGCACGCAGTGAAATCTCCAGATAAGCTTATAAAGTGATAGGTCATGTGGAACTCAGTTTAAGGAGAAGACTGTTGAGTGTACGTAAACAAAGTCTCATATGAAAAAAAAAAAAAAAAACTTATAAGGTATTGGATACTCTTAATATTGTGAGGTCTTTTGAGAAAACCGTTGGGGTTTTTGTCCGCAAACTGACAATATCACATCATGTTAAAAGTATCTTTGAGTTATTTTAGCCCAATAGAAAAACATTCTTTCGTCAAACATATATGAAATTTTGGACCCCCTTAACCCAGACACGACATTTTTGTATTTACTTGAATTCCCTAATTGAAAATCCTGGTTCCGCCACTAACCAGAAATGTTGACTTTGCTCTCCCTTGTTTCAGGTTTGGGATTCATGGAATGATGACAAAGCTTTAGATGTTGTTGATCCCTCATTAGGGGATTGGTATGAAAGTAGTGAAGTTTTGAGATGCATCCAAATTGGACTATTATGTGTACAATCATATGCAAATGAAAGACCAATGATGTCTCAAGTTGTCTTCATGCTTTGCAATGAAACAAAATTGTCTAATCCTGGACAACCTGGTTTTGTGTTCAGATCAAGAAATTCTTCTTCACTTCCTTATTCATCATCAGCTAGTATTGGAAATTCTGTAAATGACATTTCTATTACTGCACAACATGCTCGCTAAGTGTGTGTCGGATCCTTCAAAAATAGTACCATATATTTTTGTGGATCTGACATGGGTGCATCAACATTTTTGAAGAGCACTGAGCCATATGGTCATTAGGTAATTTATACTTGATCTATTTATTGATTTAGTTTAAGATTTTTTACATTTATCAATACTGTATTTTAACGTGTTATAACAGGTAGCGTATCTTTCTTTTTTTTTTGGTTAATTACTAATCCTACTTTTTATTTATAATTAGTTATTATTAATGACTTAATAATGTGTGTGTCGGATTCTTCAAAAGTAGTACCATACATTTTTGTGGATTTGACATGGGTGCATGTCAACGTTTTTGAAGAGCGTTGCGCCATATGGTCATTAGGTAATTTATACTTGATCTATTTATTGATTTAGTTTAAGAATTTGACATTATCAATGTATTTTAATATGTTATAATATGTATCGTATCTTTTCTTAGTCATACTTTTTTATGAATAATTACTTATAATTAATGACTTAATAGTGTAAATATTCTTTTATATTGTAAGTATATATTAAGTAATTATTACCTAACATATTTCCTATGAATAAAAAGGTATACTATGACACCTATCAACCAATCAAATTCAAATGTCACATAAAGATCATAAAAAAGTGATAGCAAGAGATGCTAATAATCAATAAAAGTTTTCAACTGTTTTTGTTTTCTTCCATACCTAGTGACTTGTTTGGTGAGTACTTATTTTGGTTCACTTCAATTAATCAATAGCCACTTGTTTTTCCTTTCACTTTTTCCGTTGACTTCCTTTTCTCCACTTAGGTAGTTTGTTCGGTATCCACATTGAGGTTTAATTAAATTTGAAATTCATATAGGAATTTAACTAAATTCAGATCCAAGCATTGTAGGGCCCAATTTTGAAAATGGTGCTTTCAACAAGATTTTTTTAATTCTCAAAGACTCAAAGTTGAGACCTCTGATTAAAAGTGAAGGAATTTTAATCATTCAATCACAATCCATATCGACAATATTGCTATGTTTATTCCTTATTCTTATCCACAAGATCACTTAATTAGTTAAAATAACTTTGTTTGATCAATTAATTATACATAATTTTTTAAGCTTCTCCTCGTTCGTGTTTATATGATCAAGATGGAGGTAGGGTACGTGGTACATGTTCAACAGAATCCAATAATAACGTCAGTCTATTAAGATATTCATTTAATATGTACACAGATCGAAACTCATTGATTTCAAATTTTAAATCTGCCTCTGAAGTCTATCTGAATGTTCTTCCCAATGTTGGTGTCCAAAATTCCATAGTAGTCTCAGCTGCTAATGGGAAAGTACTTGATATTGGTACTAAACATAGTCCTTTGCTCCTTAATCCTTGTTTTAATCCTTCTTGTAATTCCTTAACCTATCATAGTTTAATTTTAAAAAATGAGAGTTCAACAATCTATATTCTCAAACAATATAAAAAATATTAATATAATCACGTCATTTAAAAAGTAATTTCATTTGTAATAAATATGTCGTAACATGCTATAACATGGTGATATAAAAATAACAGGACGTACGTTCAAAAAAATTATTTGTATAAAAAAGAATTATATTGATCCCCTACCTGTTGATGTTGAGTGCGTGGTCCATTTTTCATATATCGATTGCTAAATACCTGAAAAAATCAAATATTAATTCATCATATTTAATTTTTATAGGTAAGTTTTATATTAATTTTGTGGAGTTGTAATTAAAAAAAAACATACATTGACTTGACCATGAAGAAAATTGATGTATTCGATTGCTTCTTGGAGAACCGAAGCTGTATCAGTCTGAGACAATAAATTGTGGATTCAATTAATAAAACTATAAAAAGATTTATTAAAATCTTGAAGAATTAGTAAATTGATATCGTTAAAGAAAGTGACTTTCTGAAATAATAACTATTTCAATTCGTTTCTATTTACATATCATCCTTACTAAAAAATGATGTTTCTTAATATTTGACATTACACCAAAATCAATACATAAATGTTATTTATTCTTCTTATTTTACCCTTAAGAAAGTATGTATTTGACCAACATGAGAAAATTAAGTAAGTAATGAATTTATGTTCACTGTCACCGGTCAAATTAATTAATCAAAATAAATTAATTTATGATTATTTATTAAAAAATTGACTTAAAGAGAGCACTAAATAATGATATAATAGTAAACTTATCTAGTTTTTTAAGGGGTGAAACCTAAAATGATGACAACTACTAACTAAATAGAAACGGAGGGGTATTAATTTAGTGACCATCTAAAAATTAAAGTTTTTTTTATACACTAAGAAAAGCATGATATTTTAATATGATTTAACCAACTGATTTACATATAAAAATAATATAAATCAAAGTATAAAAACTATCGAGAAAAAATCTTTTCCTAATCAAAACTCTCTAAAATAATTTTAAAAAAGTAATTTTAAAAAAATAAGTATTTACCTTTCCAAAAGGTGAAACCAATTGCTGGAGGGCAGTTATCCGGTCACCCATTTTCTCTTTTCTCACCTAATAATAATAATAATAATAAAATAATTAATAAACAAAGCTCAAAATTCATTTTATATGACATTATTTTCTTAGTTCATTCAGAAAAAATATCCCAATATAATTCTTTTATAGACATATAAAAATTATGAAATATATAAAATTAGAAATCATCTTTTTATGTTGGAATCAATGGTGGAGCTAGATTTTTTTCATTAAAAGGATTTAGAATATAAAAAGGTATAAACACGGAGAAGTCAAGAGAATTGAATATTTAGTATATATATAAATAAAAAACAATTTTCATTTTGTATATATGTATATATAATTTTTTAAATAAAAGTGTAATTAATGTAATTGGCAGTGAAGAGGGTTTAGATTAACCCTTAATGCTCCTCTAGCTCCACGCTCGTTTAAGACCATAAGTTTCATGATTTTATAGCCACACAATTAAGTTATGATATATTTAAGGTTACAAATTTTGAGCCTTTTTAAAAATATCATGCCAAGCCAGTTAAACTGTATCGTATAAATTAAAACGAATGAATTATATTTGCATACCTTAAAAGTTGGCAAAGGTGATGGTGTCTCAATTCTCTGCCGTTTGAATGTTTGTTCATTTGTGTTATTCTTGGTAATTGAGCTTAATTTGGACTCTCCAATTTTTCCAATATCAGACTGAAAAAAATTGTACCAATAGATTAAAATAAAATAAAAGGAAAAATCCTAAATATGTTATTGAATTTTGAAAAAAAAAAAAGGCTTATTTATGTTTGCATTTAAAAGTTTGACTCATCTATGTTATTTTCGTTTGAGAATAGGCTCATCCAATATGCCATTATGAGTTAACTGAAAACTAATTTATCCATGTGACAAACGATGATTTGATCACATCATCAAAGTTCGATGACATATTTAAATCCGTCAAAAGTATATATATGTGATGTACTTACCTTAGGCAAAGAAGGTACAAAATCATTCAATTTTTGTCTATCATTTATTGATGATGATGGATAATTGAATGGTTGTTCTTCATGAAGATCCGTACTAGCAAACAATGTTTGAAGCAAATCTGAATAGTAATTAGTGAAATCTTGATTCATAATTGGTTTAATTAAGGAATTATCTTCACTAATTATGCTGCAAATGTTCCTCTTCAATTCATTATGATGAGGACAATTCTGTCTTGAATTGAGATTTTCTTGTAGCATGGAATCATTGCTGCAAAATTCCAAGGAAAAAAAAGGATGGAATATATAAGAAAACTTTACCAATAATATACTCACTACTATACGTTGGTATTGTATTAAAAATAGACGTACATATTTATTTGTTCAAATTGGAAAATTAAGAAATACGCAATGAAAAAGGAAACTATTCTCTCTCGTTCCATTTTAAGTGGTCTTGTTTGACTAGGTACGAGTTTAAAGAAAGAACCAAAGACTTTTGAAATAAGTGATTAAAATAAGTCATAAATATTTGTGAAACTGTATATAAATGATCTCATTAGTGATAAAATGAAAATTTCAAAGTCAAATTATACTTAAATATAGAAAAGTTATTCTTTTTTGAAAAAGTCAAAATGAAAAATGTATCATATAAATTAGAACATGTTAGTGATAACTTCTAAACTACCATTAATCCACCCCCAATTTAATTTTAAAATTTCATTCTTTGTCCTTAATAATAAGATGATTTAGACTAATACAACTATCTATTGCTTAATTTTATAGACCACAAACTTCAAAACTCGTTCTGTCTTTCTTAAACCTCGAACTCAATCAAACACTGACACGTAAATCGAGATGAAGAGAATAACCCAAAAATTGATGAAAAACAGGATTTACTTACAGTGAGTGATTCCAATCTGGTGAAGAAGAATTTCCATTAATACCCAAGTTATGATTTTTGGGTAATTCTTGAAAAACCATAGAGTCATCAGAACTAGAATAATAATCATCATTATTGGACCTATTTTTCATGTCCAAAAATTGATCATCATTTGGCCATGCAAAATTATATTGTCCAATAATTGGATCAAGAATTGAAGATCCACAATTAGTTGATGATGATAAACTAAAAATATTTTTTGTTGAATTAATCCACAAGCTTTCTCCATAGACTCCATCTTGAAAAAATTCATCAGCCATAATTAATCAACTTTATAATTGCTATTAATACCTTCTCTATTCTTCTTGATAATTTCTAAGATTCTTTTTGGTTTGATTTGGTTTTACTTGAAATTCTCAAGTCATAGTTGTATTTATACACAAATATAGATATATGTTTGGGGTGGGGTGGGTGGGTGGGTGAGTGATGGGAGGGGCTGGGGGAAAGTATTGGAATTTGGTTGACATTATTCAAAGAAAAATGATTAGACAAAGCAATTAAAGGAGTTAGGAGATAAGCATACTTAATTATGCTAAATAAAAATTAAAAGGTATTTTGGATTGAATTCTCTTACTATTATTTTATATTATTATTGTTTGACCTGTTATTTTAGATATG